TCAAGCCCAGAGTTAATGCAAAGTGAGCAGAATGTATAAGAACTAGAAAGGAAGGACCCTGGAGTTGACAAAGCCTGCATATTTTTCATCTGAACAGTCTTATAATCTATACAAGAACAAGGTCACAAGAATTTTTTTTTTGGTAAATGATAGTTTCTTACTGTGGAATGTCCAGTTCCTGAGAATGAAGCTCCCTGAAAAGTTTTGTGTGAAAATCATAAAAAAACTGAGACGTGACCCCACCAACGAGGAGGTCACCCGGCTGGTACCACTCGTGTGGGACAGGGAGGGGATCCTTCAGGAGGCACTTCACTCCATTGGCTTTACATGCAATGCAAGGTGGCAGCAGCAGCAGAAGCATCAATAGCCCCAACATCTGGAAGCAGCCCTTGCCTCTGGATGCGCTCCTCTGGTGTCTATTACTAGAACGAGCCTGACCTTGAATGGCAGCTGAGTCTGTCAATATTCTGTACATAAGAACATAAGAGACGCCAATGTTGGATCAGGCCAAAGGCCCATCCAGCCCAACACTCTGTATCACACAGTGGCCAGAAATACCAGTGCCATCAGGAGGTCCACCAGTGGGGCCGGGACATTAGAAGCCCTCCCACTGTTGACTGTGTGTATCTTTCCTATCTAGCTTCAACAGGGTTTGAAATGCAGAGCCCAGGTGGGGGGCAGCCGATACTACCAGTACTCTGAGATCAAGGGTGGCTTTTAAAGAAGGAAAATGTTGGAAATCAAATGCCAAGTCCCTTATTCCCAGTCTCACAGTCATAGGTTTTGTTTCTAATACACACTTTCACATTTGCTTATGGACTGTTGTCATCCATTTCTAAAAAGCCACTGAGACTTTGGTCAGCCAAATAATTATACTGATTTGGATAACTCTGAAGAGAGATAATTATCTCCATCTAATTAGAGCTTGAAGTGCTACCATGGTACTAGATCTGGGCACAGATGTTTTCTTTGCTCCTTCAAGGGTCAACCTCTCCTCCTTTCAGATTTCCATGGTGAATGAACACCAACAAGGCTGTCTCATCCCAAAATGAACAAATGAGCATTATTAGAGATACATTGATTTCTGTGCTGTGTGATCTCTAATCATTTTTTACTCTGAAATAAGCACAAGCAGCTTCAGTGGAGCAAAATTGTTTGTAAGTGGTTTTAGTTAAACATCAATACACAAAATTCCTACAATCACTCAAGGTGACTTTCGCCATCCTTTCTGAGAAGAATCCTTGCTATTTTATCAAGAGTCAGCTCTTCATGATACGATGAATGGTTGAGTCAATGCTAAATCCTTTTATCAAAAAATCTGAAATGGTCATATTGATTTGTCTTGGGATAAGGGATTTGTTGGAAAACAGCACATCTATGCTATCAAGCATGTATATCAGAGGGAAATTACCATGAAGGACTGGTGTGATTATCATTTTTTTTTTGCCAAGAGCAGAGTCTCTGAAACATGGGATCAATTCAGTGAAGGGCAACAAAGAGTGCAAAATACATGGGCAACGAAGACCTAACCTCCATTTTGGGTGGCAAGGAGGCATAGAAATGTTGTAAATAAATGAATAAATAAACTGAATGACTGTAGAGAACTTTAGGAAGAACTATCCGCTTTATCCATCTAAATGTGATAAATATTTCAGAATGTTAGCTCATAAAGTAGCAAAGGGAGCTCTTTTGAGAAGTATCTCCTAAACTGAGTAATTTACTTAAACGAGCTGCATCTCAGAGTCTGCATATTTCACAAGGTACTCATCCCAAATTCTGAAGCACAGTTTATTGATTTTCTCCTCTAGCTATGAAAAATATCAGAGGTTGGATGAGTAGAATAATTCATCATGTCATGAATTTATGAACTTTCTCCATCACAGTTTAGGAACAGTTCAACCCCTAACTCCCATAGAGTGTTCTCTGTGTCTGTCTCTGTATCTGTCTGTCTGTCTTTCAATCTCTCTCTCTCTCTTTCTCTCTCTCTCTCTCTCTCACACACACACTATCAGAGAGAGAGAGAGAGAGAGAGAGAGAGAGAGAGAGAGAGAGAGAGAGAGAGAGAGACTGACTTAGTAGAAGATTCAAGCACATACATGGTGGAAGACAGAAGCTGGGTGTGGTATGAGAAGATAAAAACTTGGCCACTATTCACCATCTTAATGTTTGATTGGGATATAGCAAGGGTGTATCTGAACAAAGAGACTGAGTAATAAAAAAAAATGCTGGAGTAGGTGATAAGGCAGCTCTTCTCAGCCTGGCAGAAAAGAACTCCACACTGTGGAGTTCCAAAAATAAAAACAGGGGCATCACATTCTCCTTTACCCCAGCCTTCTGAGATGAAGGGGTCATCATAAGAAGTAGGGAGGATGGAGACCTGAACTGCTTGTAATTCAAACATGTCTATCCAAAATGTTGAAGCAGTCGGACAATCCCATTGTACTGCTGGTCCTCATTTGGGACCATGCGGTAAAATGATGGGGAATCTCTTGTATCCCTCTTCACTGCTGCAAAGGAGCCATATGTGAGTTAGAAGAACAATGGGCCAGAGACGTATAAATGGCTCAGGAAGAAAAAAATCTGTGTTTGTCTGTCTTATAATGTTTTATGTGTGTCTACAAATAATGTTTGTGTGCCTACAAATGATAGTTGCTGAAGGAAGTTGCAGGCTTGAGAATACTTGTAGTTAAATTTTCTGAAGTCAGCAATTTTAGGAAAATACATACAAGAAAGCAATGTGCTAAAAACACCTTACATTACACTGCGTACCCTCTTATTGTCACCTACCATTGTGGAGCTATTCCCAATCAGAATATGTCCTTTTGTGAATTCTAACATACCTCTTCCTCCTTCTGAAATATGGAGTAGTCCCCTGATATGAAACAAATCAGTCATTCTTCTGTGTAGAGATCATACCTGTGGGATTTTGTAGAGACTGAGAATGGTGGCCATGCTTAAGGAGATATCTGAACCAACTCCCCCAATGATGGCCATTAGATTTTTGTGGGTGTCACATTCAAAATTGGGGAAATATCTAAGCACTTTATATAGAAGGTCCAGAGTGGTACGGTAGGTCATCTTCTCATCATAGTAGCTGTCATAGATGTGGAACTCAAGGGTGATATTGAGCAAGATCTTTGGGTTCTCATTGATCTCATACACAGCAAATGCCAAGACCAGGATGTGCTGGTAGAACTTTGTCAACATGCTTTAAAAGAAGAGTGACATGCTCTTTTAGAGAACAATTTGAAAATGCACCAAGTCATTTAAACACCATTCTGTCTGAATGACACCATTTTAGTCTGAAATGGCTATTATTTTGTTGCTTTAGTAGAAGGATATTATTTCATTTATTTCAAATTTTTTAGCTATTTAGTATCCTTCTCTCCTCTCAAACAATATTCACATCAACATACCATCATTTGTGCTGTAAGGTTACTTTAACGCATTTACTGCACACGGTCTTACTGTCTTGATTTACTGGGATGCATTTTCCCCCCTGGAAATCTTTCCCCCTTTCTTTGACTGTGGCCAAGTGAGGCATGATGCTATCCTCATGGCCACCATAAGGACGCCATCACCATATTAAGTTATTTAAAATATTGTGAGGGCCCAATCTTGATTGGGCTTCCAGCATGGCGCTCTTTACCCCCACCCATCTCCATGCTTTACAAAGTGCCACAACAGCTACTGGGCAGGTATGCATAACCATTTCAGCACTTGATATGGTGCCAGTATGATGTAACTCACCCCACCCTGCAGCAGGTATAGCATTTTTAAATGACTTTTAAACTGGTGCCAGGATCCTCACAGCAGCCACACTGTCATGTCTGAGGAGTTAGTTGTCTTTTTAAGGCTTCATTTCCCTTCCCTTGATCTCTCAACGTTACATTCCTGGGTTGAATCCAGTGGAAAAGTTCAGATAATGAGCAGATCTGTTTGTTTTATTTATATATATTTTCCTCCCACTTTTCTTCCCAAGGGACCCAAAGAGTCTTATAACCACCCTAAAAAAAATCAGTCCTGGTTCCCACCTGGAACTGACTCCCGGATAGCTACTTTTTGGAAAGTATAATCATGCATATAAAAGATATTGCCCTAAATCATGATCTTGCACTGAAAGTACTTCTTGAACCGAAGATAAAATCCAAAATACCATGGTTCTTCTATCTTCAGTTGAGGCATATGTATACTCATTTAAATCTTTCCATCATCCTATGTACACCTTTCACCAAATCTGACATATTTCTTCGTTGGGTATATTTGAAATAAGTGAATTGAACACTGGATTGACCTGACATGTGTCGTTTGAGAAGATTTCAGGGATTCCTAGACATTCAAAGCATGGGATTAACCATTGCCCCCCTGCAATGCTCTTAGACTAGGCCAATTTTCTCTGTTCTAAAGTGAAAAATGTCTTCAAGAGGAATCTTAAATACTTTAATTCTTTCTTCTGGTGAGCAGTCCCCTGTTGTTCAACTCAGGCCTTATCAGAATAATGTAGCATTTAGGGGAAAAGATACAAGCAAGCAACCCAGCACCGGAGGTCAAGATAGAGAAAATCTCCACAGCTACCATGTATTTCCCTTTGGTGCTCAGGTAGGTTGGAACAAACGACAACCAAACACTACAAAAAATCAGCATGCTGAAGGTGATGAACTTGGCTTCATTGAAACTGTCTGGCAACTTCCTGGCAAAGAAAGCCACAATGAGGCTGATGAGGGAGAGAAGTCCCAAGTAGCCCAGGACAACATAAAACATAGTGACGGATCCTTCATTACAACCTTTCACCAAATCTGACATATTTCTTCATTGGGTGTATTTGAAACAAGTGAATTGAACACTGGATTGTCCTGACATGTGTGGTTTGAGAAGATGTCAGGGATTCTTAGGCATTCAAATCATGGGATTAACCATTGCCCCCCCCGCAATGCTCTTAGACTAGGCCCATTATCTCTGTTCTAAAGTGAAAAATATCTCCAAGAGGAATCTTAAATACTTTAATTCTTTCTTCTGGTGAGCAGTCCCCTGTTGTTCAACTCAGGCCTTATCAGAATAATGTAGCATTTAGGGGAAAAGATACAAGCCAGCAACCCAGCACCGGAGGTCAAGATAGAGAAAATCTCCACAGCTACCATGTATTTCCCTTTGGTGCTCAGGTAGGTTGGAACAAACGACAACCAAACACTACAAAAAATCAGCATGCTGAAGGTGATGAACTTGGCTTCATTAAAACTGTCTGGCAACTTCCTGGCAAAGAAAGCCACAATGAGGCTGATGAGGGAGAGAAGTCCCAAGTAACCCAGGACAACATAAAACATAGCGACAGAGCCTTCATTACATTCTAGGATGATCTCTTCAGTCAAAGAGAGCAGGTCCAGATCTGGGAAAGGGGGAGAGGTTCCAAGCCACACCATACAAATGCCCGCTTGAATGAAGGAGCAGGAAAGAAGGATAGAGTTGGCCAGTCTTTTCCCCAACCACTTCCTCATGCTGGACCCCGGTTTGGTGGCCATGAAAGCTACAACCACAGTGATGGTTTTGGCCAACACACAAGAAACAGCCACTGAGAAGATGATACCAAAAGCCACTTGTCTTAAGAAGCAAGTCACTTTCCTAGGTAGTCCAAGAAACAGGAAGGTGCAGAGAAAGCAGAGCAGGAGAGATATGAGAAGAGTGTATGTGATATCCCTGTTGTTGGCTTTGACAATTGGGGTACCCTTGTACTGAATGAAAATTCCCAGCACTAAGGCTGTGACTAGGGACAAAGAAAGTGCAATGGAGGCTAACCCAGTCCCCAAAGGTTGTTCATAAGACAGAAAGCCCAGCATCTTGGGAATACATTGGTTACGGTCCTTGCTTGGGTATCGATCTCCTGGGCATTTGACACAGTCATCCGCATCTGCAAAGAAAAAGAATGGCTCAGCCTGACAGTCATAATTCTCTGGGGACTCAGAGCTAATTTGCTGACCTGCTTTGCTATAGGAAAAGTGTGGGAAATGTTATATTTCTGTTTCCAAACACATTTCAGAGTTCTGATTGTTAAGTTCCTAAATGTTTGGGGCCCTGTGTACTTTTTTTTTTGTCCTGAGTTTTTTTTCTTTCTTTTTAAAAAATTTATTATTATTAAAAAGGATAAAGCAATATAACAGTGCATTCATACATGTCACAAGAACCAGCTGATACATTGAATAAATATCCAAAGCAAAAACGTAAAAACACAACCTAACCCAAACAAATTGCGTAACAATAAACCTTAATCACCGTCTTTCCATTTGTATGCTAATGAATGATGCAAGGAGCCCCGACTACTCAAGTGGTGATTGAACTAAAGTATTGTGTCCTACTAGCCTAAACCAGTGTAAGATCAAAAACGTATCCAAGGAATATAAGCAGCCTTAGACGGAATTATGTTCTTCTCTGACATATACTGAAGCACTCTGAACCACACTGTGACAAATCGTTCATGGGCCTTTGATGTATCTACTAATGTAGTTAGAGTGACCTGCGTCAGTTTCTCTAAAATGAATATGTCCCAAATTTTCTCATACCATGTTTGTAAGGGGAGGAGCACTATCTTTCCATCCAGCCGCTATGGTTAGACGTGCAGCAGCCAAAGGTTTAGATATCAGGTCCTTCTGAGCCCTAGTAGCCGTCACTTCCTCCACCAAATCAAGAAGCACTAATTTTGGGCAAACTGGTAGATTTAATGATGTAATGTCACTTATTCTCCCTGTGTACTTGAAGGAGCACCTCCTCCCATATTGTCCAGACTGTCAGTGAAGATCCTTTTACAAGCCCTGTTCCCTGTGTCACATCTGCAGAGACAAGGCAGATGATGCACAGAGAGGGATTTTTCAGTGTGTTCCCCTTGCCCGTAGAAGGCCATTTAGTGGCTATGCTACTCTCTTTTCAGTGACTGCCCAGGACATTTCTTTTTACTCCAGATTTCAAGTACGGGGTTGATCATTTTAATTCTTTTTCCAATCTGCTTTTGGTCTCTGATTCTGTGTTTTTGCATTTATCTTTTGTGAAGCATCAGTCTTGGAAGAGGCAGTATAGAAATGTTTCAAACAAACAACAAAGAATGTTTTAATGCTGCATCTTGTTTTTACTCATAAATACAAAAGGTTATTATTATGTGATGATCATTGCCTTCTGTGTTAAGCTACCTTGGAAAGCAATGACTTTTTTAGAAATACATATTTAAGTAAATATGCTGCAGTTGAGCCTACATTATATAACTGTTTTATTACTGCTCTAGAGTAGAAAGACAGGATGTGAGCTCTCTGAATCAGGGTTCAATAAAACCTTTCCCCAGTGGTGAGCTGAAGTATAACACAGGATTTCCTGGATAATGCTTCCACCCTTGATCCTTTCCAGTCCGGCTTCCACCCTGGCCATGGGACGGAGACAGCTCTGGTCACCCTTACAGATGACCTCTGTAGACATCTGGATTGAGGCTGGTCAGTGCTGCTCTTATTATTAGATTTAACGGCAGCGTTTGATATGGTTGATCAGGGGTCTTGTTGTAGAAAAAGAGCTGCTGGAGCTCATTAGCATAACTCATTCTTCCTCCATGGTCGGGGACAGAAGGTGGTGCTGGGTGAGAGTTTAATCGCTCTTCTGGTTTCATTCTTGGAGTAGCTATTTGCTTGAAGTGCGTGATTTACCTGCCTACCATTTTTCTTCTCACCTTGACACAGAGAGTACTCCATCTTTCTGTGTTATACCTCTGAGGATGCCAGTCACAGCTACTGGTGAGACATCGGGTTCTACAATGCCAAGACCATGGCCACACAACCCGGAAAACCTACAGCAACCAAACATCAATAACTTTTTAATGGAGAGGTGTTTTTTGTTTTTGTTTTGTTTTTTAATTTACACACAGGATTCCAGTTTCTGCCTATCTTGGAAAATAGAAGAAGAAATGTGAACATCTGACTCATTCACTCTCCCAAAGAATGATTGTCATATAGGGGATCATGGTTCTACCTGAATCCATCTGAGGGTGGTTCTTGTGCTTTGCGTCCAAACTATTCCAGGTTCCTGACATCTCCAAGTAAAAAGACCCAGGAGAATGTGATGGGAAAAACCTTAGCTGAAGCTTTGGAAAACCACTTTCAATCAGAGTAGACCATTCTGTCCTTCATGGAGGGTCGAGTTCAGATGGGCAGTTTGCCCCGATATAGGCATGTGTGAGGAATTTTCACAACCAGATTAAATGGGCCATTCACACAGGCACATCTGTCCGGCATTCATAACCGTACTCAACCCATCTTGTAACACTTTGCTACTGAGTTTTAAAGATACCTGATGAAAGTGGTATTCCCCCCTTCTCACCATGGTGTTTTCAATTTCCATAACTCTGTTTCCAACCACAGGCTGGTTCACAGATGCATGCACATCATTTGGGGTGGAATCCCATTAGCTGAAATTTCTTCTGGTGAGAAAGTGAGGAGCTGCCTTCTTTGACAACACATCAGGGCAAAGCTGGGGACTGTGGAACACCGTGGACAAAAATCCATGTGCGACAGAGGCGGGTTTAAGAAAGAACATTGGCCAATATCGAGACAGAGAGCACCCTTGATTTCTCCTCACTTGGTAAACAATGGTCACATATATGTGAACTGGGAAAACTTAACACTGTGGAGTTTGAGGTGAGCTCTTTCTGGAACAGGTTACTGTTTTATTTCCTTGTAGTAATTCTCCCAATATTGTTCAAAATGGCAGAAACTGCTGGTTCAAGAAGTGGTAACATGCACAGAAAACTAACCCTGCATGCTGGTATACTGCACAACTTACCCTTCTGGTTTGAAATCTTCCCTTCTGGGCATGGAGCACAATCATAGCAACAAAATGGCTTCCCTTCTTTCTTTTTCTTATGATAACCAGGGTCGCAGTAATCGTTACACAAGGAAAGGGGCACCACCTGTCCCAAAACATGAAAGGAAGTTGGGATGGGGAAAATATGCATTATTTTATTGTTTGATAGCTGAACAAGACACACCAGAGTCCAGTAAAAAATTGAGTAATTACGCATGCAATCTGGTTATTCATCCATAGGTGGTGGAAAGCGCCATTAAGTCACAGTTGGCCTATTAAGTCTGACATCCAAGTACTAAGCAGGGCAGACCTTGCCCAGCTTCTAGATCTGAGAAAACAGAGTTAGACTATACAATCCAGGTCAGGGAGGAGAAATAATTCCAGATTGGGGGGCTTAGAGGGAGCATTGGTGAGCACCGACAGGCAAACCCCGCCCCCACTGATCTGGGGTGGGCATGTTTGGCAAGAACCATCCATTGGCAGGATCCTTGGAGGGGAATGCAAATGGCTTGCGATGCCCCTTGGATTGGGCGTCCCCTCCATTTCCTTTCAGAGGGTTACTCAGATGTCTTGCCGCCTGGCAACAGCCATGCTATCATTGGTTTGTGCCAGGGGCTCAGTGTCTCACCCATTTTTGTCCAGAAAAGGGACCAGGCTGTCTCCCTTTACCTCAGCTTCTGTTTATAGTTGGCCCTTGCCAAGTTACAGTTCATTCATTCATTTAAAGTTACATTTAATAAAGCAGCCCTCTCAGCCCAACACACCTGAGAGGTTAGCTGTTGTAGATTTTCCAGGTTGTATGGCCATTGTAGGACCTGATATTTCGCCAGTATCTGTGACTGGCATCCTCAGAGGTATAACACAGAAAGATGGAGTACTCTCTGTTTCAAGGATTCAGAGACTAACAGAGTCCCTGAGAGAGTCTTTTAATTCTGACTATGGGGGCAAAAGTCAATATTAGCCTAGTCTAGTCATCCAAGACAGGACGTTCCCTAGTTGCAGCATATAATATTTCTAGAGTCTTTTTCTATATTGGGGACCAGAATAAAGAGACTAAGCAATGAGAGCCAGTTTGGTGTAGTGGTTAAGTGTGCGGACTCAAATCTGGGAGAACCGGGTTTGATTCCCCACTCCTCCACTTGCACCTGCTGATGTGACCTTGGGTCAGTCACAAGCTCTGGCACAGCTGTCCTTGAAAAAGAGCAGTTTGTGTCAGAGTTCTCTCAGCCACACCCACCTCATAGGGTGTCTGTTGTGGGGAGGGGAAGGGAAAGGAGTTTGTCAGACCGCTCTGAGACTCCAAGCCGCTCTGAGACTCTGAGACTCCAAGTAAATCCAATCTCTTCTTCTTCTTCTTTTACCTCACAGGGTGTCTGTGGTGGGGAGGGGGAGGGAAAGGAGTTTGTAAGCCGCCCTGAGACACCTTTGGGTAGTGAAGGGCCATGGGGTATAAATCCAATATCTTCTTCTTCTTCTTTTACCTCACAGGGTGTCTGTTGTGGGGAGGGGAAGGGAAAGGAG